CACGCCGAGCTGCCTCGCGCTCCGGCTTTGAGCACCTTTGCGCCCTAGCCCCCCTGAAGAAGAACAGGTTTCCCCAAACGCAACTGCAGGACCCGCCTACATGAGCCAATCGCACTCATCAGTCCAAGTTCCCTCGGTCGTGGTCGGTGCGGCCAAAGAATGGGGAGGCCTGCTTTTCAAACAGCCGGCGGTTTGAAGCAGGGTTTTTGTGGGCCGCTTCCACGTTCCATTTCAAAATGATTTCTTTGCGGCATTCGTCCAGGAAACCACGCACATTCAACAGAAACACGGTCAAAACTCCATGGGCTCACCGCGGATGTCGACACGGTGGGTGGGGTGCTGGCTGGCTGGCTTGGCTGGTTGGCGGGCGGGCGGGTGGGCGGGCGGAGTGCGCAACCGTTCTGGTCGCCACACTTTCTTGGACCAAAAAGACCAGCCAGCAACTGCCAACAGCCAACAACCCAGGGCTGAACAGAATGGTGTGGGTTTGGGGCAGTGGTGGCATGGAATGGGACGGATGCTTTGGTAGGGCCGGATGAATGGGTGGATGGGTGGGGGGATGGAAGGACGGATCGGTGGATGAATGATGGAGGGACGAACAGCTGGATTGCTGCATTGTGGGCGTCTGCTATTTTTGGGGGTGAGTAAATGAGGAGCGTGCGCTGTGTCTTTGCTGCGGGTTTTGAATGCAATTCTACTTTCGAACGAGTGGATGAAGGTGTAAGCGGCTTGAAGTTTGAGCCTTTGAGTCGCCATATGCAGAGTTCCGCTTCGGTGTTTGCCTGCAAAGCGTTTCGGTTGGAATGAACAGATCAAAAAAATGCCACTCATATGCTGGCTTGCTGGTTTACATTCTAGCCTCGTCGCGTTTGCGGGAAGGCCTCTGAAGATGAAAACGCCGGCCCACAGGAAGCGTTGTTTTTCCGACTTTTTCCAACATGCCGACCAGGTCAACGTGCAGTCCATCATCATGCAAATATGGTTGAAGGGACACACCAACGCGCCAGGAATCAACATGAGGTCAAAGAACGAAACCCGACTGCACCTGATCCGTCTACCAGCCATCACAGTGCTCGCCAGAACGCCGTCGGCTTCAAACACGCAACCAAAAGAATGTTGCGAGGAAAGCTACGCCATGTTTTGCTCAGTTCGGATCACTGGTCTTCGTTTCGCATTGTGACGGAAAAAAACCCAGCACCAGCCAAGCGTTCATTTGAAATATGTTTGTGGAACTTCTGAAGGCCAAGGAGGCCCCTAACAATACCACAAACACACCCATCCAGGAACCCGAACGATTTGTCCAAGTCATGATCCTGGTTGCGAACCTGGGCTGGATTACGGGCCCTCAACCAAAAAACGAAAGTTCGCCAGAATCAACCCTTCTTCGTTGCAGCTTTAACAAGAGGGCGACATGCCAATGGAACACAGGTTCGCTCAGCAAGGGGCAATTCAATAAAAGGGAAGGATGGTTAGGAGCACCGCCAAGCTATCCTGCACAGCCAGCAATGACCCTGCAAGGGCGAAGCGACTTGAAAAGATCGGCGAAAAACACCAGCCCTAAAGACATCAACAGACCGATCTGGGTAAACCTCGGGCAGTGACCCTGAAGGAAAATGATGTTCGTTGAGCTCAACCACGACAATTCTCTTGCAAATCAAACAAGGCAAGTCGCAACCGAAAAACCTTCAATTCAGAGGAAACACTCACACTGATGGTGAACACACGCTCGTCAAAAAACAACAATGTTTGCGATGCCTTTTAACTTCTGTGGGAAAACAGTTTTGTTTGATGACGCATTGTGAAAGGTAAAGCAAACATTATTTGAGAATTGCGCCGACAAATCATTAACATGGCAGCAGTGCGACCATTTCTTGTTGCCAATTGCGCATGATCGCAAGGCGACATGAAAAGCCACTGTTCGCTTGTTTCAAAAAGTGCGAGGCCAAACGAGGCCACCATTCTCGCATTTTCCCAATGCGAGGCCAGCTCAGTGAGCCAAAGCAGAGGCGTGGCCATTGCTGTCATCCCCAATGCGAAAGGATAGCAGGTTCTGATGCGCCTGATCGATGGTGGCAAACTGTTGATCAGCCATGAACATAAGTCAAAGTGGGGAAGCTTGTGCAAACAAATGAGGGGCAACTATGACTCTAGCCGGCAACGCTATGGCCGCTATGGCGCCCAGCTTGACACGGCAGGTGCTTGCTGGCAAACACTGCTGAAACCGGCACATCCAGCACGTGAATGTCCAGTTGGGTTCTGAACCAGCACGGAGTGCGCCAAGGCCGTCAAAAAAAACAACAAGTGGGTGGGATGAAGGGATTGAGTTTTTCGCCACAGCCCATGGGTAGGTCTGATGCGCAAGGCCCTGTGCGCTGGCACACGCCTGGCAACAAAGGCCGCGTGGCAAAAACAGGACATCTGCACGTCCGGATGCAAGTCTCTCCACTCACCTGAGTTTTGCACCATCTTGAAAAGAATGGTCAATTCATGTTTTCCCGTGGTGTGGCCCATGGCAATCTGCATTTAAAAAACGGAATTCGCGTGGGATGCTTCCTTCCCCAGCCCCGTCCACACCCACTTGTTCCACATCAAAAAGTCTGGTTTCGCAAGAAAGCACGTGTGACTTGTCTTCTTGAGAGGATTGCATGAGACGCGCTGGGTGCACTGAAGTGACACTGGTGAATGCAGAAGTGAACCCTTGGAGCAAGCAAACAAGTTGTGGACTTCGTCCCATTGCCAAATTGTGCCTGGCGCCTCATCATCAAGGTAAAGGTCCGGGGAAGTGCTCTGGACCATGAATTCCTCTGCTGAAGCCCAAAAGTCACTGTTCTTGCCCAAAACACATTGCACGCAAACGCAGGGACAAATGCCAGAGCAAAACGCACAACTTGGGCAGCCTTTCGTGGTGGGGTGCTTTTGCGCTCTGGAGGGAGCGCTGCCTCTACATCACCCTCAGATGGTTGGTTGCCTTGCAGGTGGAGGGAATGAGATGGACTGGCCATGATTGGCATCGAGGATACTGCTCGTACGCTCTCGCCAATCTTGGCGTTTGAGGCAGGGCTGGCCTGTCTGCGTATGCGTTTTGTTTGTCAAATGCTTGAACTATGATGTACGGGTTGTCTTCACGAGTCCGGTCACTACTGTGGCGGTATCCAAGGCCATCTTTGTTTGGGGGGTAGCTGTCTGATACCCCAAGTCATGAAAGCGTTGGACAAGGCTTTGCACAATCTGCACTGGGAAGTAGACGTGAGTGTCGCCTACTGGCAGGTCCGGTTTACCGAGGGCCATCCCTCTAGATTGGCTGAGCCCGTCCCTAATGTCTGTGATGAGGAGTTGCCCCAGCCAGAGGAGCCGCCCTCAGAAGACGAGGAACAGGATGCGGAGCCAACCTACATTGTCCCAAAGGGCCATGGGCGCTTTGTCTTGCGGTGTGCCCGATTGCAAAATGCGGCCAACAATTTTGCAAAAGGCAATGTCCAAGAGGAGAGCAAACTCATCTCCAACTGGCTAACCACTGGCTTGGAGGCTGCCATCCAAACAGGAGCTCACATTCATGGACAGACAACAGCTGCGACAGTATTAGTATAATGGATACCCTGAAATCCAGCAGGATGATAGACCCTACCAAAAGAGCAGTCAGTATACGTGTAGCGATGCTGAATGGGAAAGGACCGCTAAATGGCTCACAGGTGACCCTACCTTTCTCAATAAAATGCACTCGTACGGCCTTGGGAAAAGAGAAAAAGTAGTGCGAAAGTTACACACGACAGCGAACACACACGCAACCACGTCGATCGAGTCCGAGTGCACGCACGCAATCCCAACTTTTCGCTCGTTCCACAAACACAAAGGTAAGTGCCAAAGTGTATCTATCTTTACAAGTGTGCAACCTGTCTTTAAACACTGATTCCTGAGTTTGAGCCCTTCCTGACAGGCGCTTCGACCGATTCAAACGGTGGCTTCGAACCCTCGTTCAAAACACACAATTCCAGTCAAAACTCTTTAGTGAGTTAGTCTTGCTATGGAAAGTTGATCCAAAAGAAACAGGGGCCCACAAACCAAAAGGTTTGTGTTCCCCCCCATCACCCCCCATCAGACGTGATCCTTCTCAGCACCAAAAGACCCGTAGGACCCTTCGACGTACCTTTGAAGGCACTTGTTTGGATCACATGTGTCATCATCTGGGGAGGAACCCTAACAAAAGGGATCCAACCAAAACCCAAAAGGTGATCAACTAACCAAGTAGACCAACCCACCCTGTACTTAACTCCGGCATCATCCATCGATGATGTGTGTGGCACTGCATTCCAAATCGACGATTGAGCAAAAATATCCAATCCGAACATCATCCTTCGATGATGTGAGGTGCAAATCGTACATTCCATCAAACATAGCATCATCCCGTGACGATGCGTGGATCAAAAACATGCGTTCCATCAATCATCCATCGACGATTCATTCCAAAACCCCTTCAAATGACTTCAAACACAAATGTTAGCAAAATTGAAGAATACGTAAAATCTAGATTGTTAAAAATGGACGTGTACGTGCAACAACCTGTACGAGCAAAAGTGGGCTAGTAAAAACGAGTGGACGAACGAGCGAACGAGCAAACGGACGATCAAACGGACGATCAAACGAACGAGGGGCGAACAAGTGAACGAGCAAGCAGACGATCAAACGAACGAGCAAGCGGACAAACAAACACACGAGCCTGCAAAGCAAATCGGAAGGGGCACAGGAAACGCAGAGAAAACACACAAACAGTGAAAATCAGTGAAAACAACTCAAATCCAACCCACACCAGTCCAGCAAGTGGTGCAATTGTTTCCTCTGCGGGCGACGGTCTGTTTGTCTGTCAGTACAGGTAAGCTACAGGGGAAGGGGCCAGGGTCACATCGGCGTGTTTTTCACACGGACCACAGGCACTCTGTCTATTCCTCGAGTCTCTTGTCGAGCTCAGTTGAACAAATGCCGGCTGGCGCGTTCAGTTTCCATTCTCAATGAGAAATCACTCTGGTCATGGCCGATACCAAAGCCTCAATATCATCTGCTTCATCCGCCTCGCTTTCCGACTGGAGACGTAGGGAGCAAAAGACCACGCACAGAATAGCCGACACCACATTTCCAGAGAACCTTTGCAGCAACGCTAAAAGAAAATCGGAAACACGACTTCATGAATGCCCGGTCCATACATAGTCGACTCATAGTCATAGAGTCAAGGTTGTTATACTGTACTGATAAATTATGATTTATTCATATTCAATATGTACCCCTAAGTTGCATACCAACCCCTAACAGAAAATGTGTGTTCAGTCAACAGTTTGTTTGGTGACGTTCCGTTTCCCGTCCGCCCTTCGTATTGTGATTGTCTCAAAGGTTGTGTTGTCTAGATTTGTCTAGATTTGTTTCAATGCGGCAAGGCCAGGTCCACACTCAATACGAATCAAGGAACGAGTTTCCTGCCAAATCAGTGAGCTGCGATTCACTGAAACCCTTGGCCGGGACATGCCCTTGCAGGTGCATCAATCCTTGGCAGAACAATGGGAACCATATCAGAACCTGTGGTAATACGATGCGCGCTGTGATACACGTCGGCAAACTCAATATTCTTGTGGAGCCTGTCTCGTTCATGGGATGCAAATCCAATGACCTGCACGGCGCCCAGCATGCAGGAAGGTAAGTTGCTTGCGTACACAGGCTCTGAAATTTGACTACTGACAATAGCCTATAGATAGACCTAAGCCTATAGCCTGTAGCCTTTGGCCTAGAGATTATATAATTATATAGTTTTAATATACAATAACATAAACATAATATATATGATATGTATACTGTATAAATATATTATCGTTTAATTTGGCCTATAGCCTATGCCTATAGTCTATGGTCTGCCTCCTTTGCTCGGTCTGTCATGACTGCAAACCATGGAGAGGATGAGAGCTGCGTATTGATTTTCAGTGGCCACGAAATGCCACCTTGGCTTGTGTGCAAGTATACCGTCGCACGTCTTGCAAAGTGGACACAATACTAGAGAGATGAGATGAGATTGAATTGAGATCAAATTCAATTCTTCAAGTCTAGTGTTGGACTAGACGCGTTACTCTGCCAGTGACATGTGCAAGCTGATCCAAGATGGGTTTTTCTCCGATGGGCGCTCTGCTTCTTTGGCTCGCTGCTTCTCCCGCTCCTCTTGCAGGGTCTGCAGGTATGATGTAACAGCAGGATCATCATCTGCCAGAAGGAAGCGGTCCTGGGCTGTGAAACAAAAGCACGAAATAGACCAATAAGCTGTGAAACAAAAGGCCAACTGGAATGCAAGTGCCTTCAGAAATACAGCTGTGACTCCGGGTGAGGGGGCTTTATGTACATCTTCTGAAGAAGAGACTTGACGCTCTGGAAGAAAGTACTTGCAGAGGTAGCAACACCTGCTGCATTCCGGTTTAAACATACCAAGTATACTCTGCGACGGGACTGCGGCAGCCCATACCATGCGTCGTCCAGAAGATAGGTCTGACAGGCGTAGCCTTTGGCATCTATCTCTTGGAGACAAAGGTCCAAGTTGGTCTGCCTGAGACAACCAAACTAAAGGCTGTCAAGTTGTCAGAGGCACAGCACAGCGTACAAGTACACACAGACAAAGGCACTCATCATTTGCACTCTCGCGGTCTATTGCTTGCACATTCTCGAAGATGGCCCATGTTGGATTTGAAATCTCCAACACATCGCAACAAGCCATGAAAGTTGTCACACTGGCCACTCTGCCCTTAGTGGTAAAGAGACACCGTGCCCCCACAAATGTATTTATATTTACAGTATTATATAAATAAACATGCAACATTATATAAAATATGAAAAGCCCTTAAAGCGTTGACAAAGCCATAGTCAGTCTAGTCTTAGTCAAAATCATCGTTTTGGTTGGGTTTTCGTCTTGGACTTAGAGGTCGAGTCATAGTCATGAGTCATTGTCATGAGTCATTATGGTCTGTAAACTTGTGCCGGGGGTCCTCAGCTTCATTCCTTGATGCCTTCTCCATAGCTGAAGCATTTTTGGCAGCGTCCTTATTTAAACTGCTGTAAGATGTGCAGCTGAACCCTGCTCCAAACCCATCGATGACGGAAGGCAATCTGCAAGGACCGCCATGAACTGTGCAGACTCTGCGCGCGTCACTTCTGAGGAGACGAGCATCCTCAGAAAGAAAAAAGGCAGAACATCCAGAAAGAAAAGGCCCACTAGAAAGAAGGACAAAAGAAAGGAAACAACGAAAGAAGACTACCTTCCGTGATGTTCTTTGATTTGATATCATATGATGATACAATGATGATGATACGTTGATATATTTGTCTATTTCAAGGAAGACTACTAGTAATGGTCATAGTCAGAGTGATAGTCAGTAAGTCTGTTAGTTTATGATTAAATTATACTAACTAATGAATTGACATTGCACTCTCCAAGTTTCTTTGAACATGCAATAGTCATCTGGCATGTCCTGCCGACCATACGACGCCTTGAAAGGCACGCACTCTGCTCCAAAAGATGGTTTGACCTTACGGCACAGTCATGACATTGAACACACGGCAAAATCATTGAACAACACCCATGGTAGCTTTGAAGACAAGACAAGACAAGACAAGACAAGACAACACTCATGACTCATGATTCATCTTAACTCAAAACCAAAGGCGCCGTACATTCTCCAGTATTGTCAAGTCCGAATACATACATGATAGCCTCGAACGTAGCTGAGGCACAGGTCTCAAACCTGCAGCATTCTGCGCGCTGGAACATTATCATGGTTGACAACGATGTCGATGTCAAGAAAAAACAACAACCGCGCAACAAATCAAACCAACAACAGTTTCTAAAGACCAATGGACGCCCCTGTTCCAGTACAGATTGAGCAAACACCAATTTCAGAGCCAGCTTGAGTTGATAAGTTCTCATAGATCTTGGAATCTGGTGACTCACAACGATGCTTCAGCAAGAGGGCAGCCAGCACCTTGAAGCAATATATGTATCCATTCACTCACACTCTTGCATTTCATGTTATCTAACAGTGTGTAACTGTGTATGACTTGAGTTGTCTCACATGAATCGGCAAGGCACTTTGGAAGCAAAGAAGGTCATGTCACCGATGTCTGGGTAGTACAGCAGCAACTCCGCCAAATAGTCATCCGCTTTCTTACATTCGCAGCGCCCTGACTCATCAAGCTTTGGTGGCATAGGCAAATCCCCAAGGTTGCCCAGCTCTGATTCATCCTTTCTCGGCATTGAGCCTCAACGCTTCAATTGAGACTCAATTGCAAAGTCTGTCTAGTCTGCCCATATTGTAACACCTAGCCTAGCTTGTGGACTTTAGTGTCCTCTGAATGATTTTAAATCAGTTCAACCGTCTGACTGGTTGAATTGAATTCCAAGACACCAAGGAAGCTCTCCACACCTTGCGCGTCAAAAGTGTTAAGCCCTTCGACAGGGCAGGAAGCACTAGGAAAAGAATCACTTGGGCCACCGCCAGATTCTGCAGGACCAGGGCAGGAAGCACCAGGATGAGAATCATTTGGTGCATCGCCAGATTCAGCAGCACCAGGGCCAGAAGCACCAGGATGAGAATCATTTGCATCGCCAGATTCAGCAGCACCAGGGCCAGAAGCACCAGGATGAGAATCATTTGCATCGCCAGATTCAGCAGCACCAGGGCCAGAAGCGCTAGGGCTAGGACTATGACTAGGCGTCTCAGCAGCTTCACCATCCAGTTGCAGAGCAAGGCTTGTCTCAATCATTGCGAGCTCAGCTTCCAAGGGGTAGACATCCCCTGCCGTTTGCGCATCCAAGACAGGATTGAAAAACCCATGCTTCTCACAAAGAAACGATTCAGCATCAGCTGCAATCCGAAACTGGGCACGTCCTAGCATTTGATTCAACCAATCCAGCGCAGGATCTCTCCCTGTCCTGCCTGTTTGGCTTGCTTCTGCTGGACTGTGAGTGGATCTGACTTCCGCTTGCTCCATCAACTCAGGCTCCACAGAAGCAGTAGCTTCGGTATCAGCGGCAGCGGAATCAGCAGGAGCATCGGTCTTGGCATTTTCCTGGTCGTGTTCCATAGCGGCTGCTGTGACAATGGCCAGCGCAGCGCCATTGTCAGTTTCCACTTTTTCCACTTCCATAGAAACTGCAGGCTGACCGGCTGACTGATGGCTGCCCAGGCTAGTAGCATCCTTTGCTTCACCAAAAACCTTTTTCCACTTCCATACAAATTGCAAGCTGGCTCGCTGACTGATGGCTAGCCTTTGAATCCTTTGCTTCAGCAGCACTGGTAGCGGTGGTAGTTGCAGCATCACTCTGATCAAGACGATTCAGTGAAGGTCATTCAGTGATGATGATGTTGTTTCTAGTTGAGCCTGCACAGATGATGAGAAATTCGAAAATGCCATTTTAGAACAGCTTCCAATGCTAGGGCAAAGCAGCACCTTCGGGTGCGAACTGCAATTCGTGCAATTAGGACCCATGCTGTCTTAACAGATCCTGTTCAACAGCAGCTGAGTGCTAAGGAGAGCTTGTACGTCATTGCCCGGCCATGTTTTGTTGAAGCGATGCACAAGGTCCCTTATAGGTGAAGAGAAAGCCATACGAGTGCCCTTTGTCAAGAACAACAAAGTCCCCCTTCAAGCCTTCTCCCATCACTCAGAAGTCCGCCACGCCCTTGTCGAAGAGGGTTTTCGGATTGTAGGGGAGGCTGCTTGGAGGAGCTGCCACCGACTGCAAATTGTCCACCTGCCGGACACAGTGGTCAGCCTGCGGCGTGGGGCATTCTGCAGGTGCTATGTGCTGCGTGAAGTGACGGCCCCTGGATGCCGACATTTTGGCACCAAGGTCTTCGAACAATGTCGCTCGCTCACCCAAATTGGGACCACGTTACATTCTGATGAACTCCTGGCCCCCCAAGCGCAATTGCGGTCCTGGGCTTTTGAACTGAGGCAAGACAGAGTGCGAGTTTGCGCAACCACACAGGAGCTTGCCTGAGTGCTGTTTCCTAGAAGCAGGAATTGCCACGCTCTCCCTGCCGGCAGACTTTAATTGGGTTGGCCCGGCTGCCTGTGAGCGCTGCCAGAAGTTGCAGTCTGTTGACTTGTTTTCAACGGACGTTGTCGAACTTTTAGGTTCGACCTTCGCACACTGTTCGCAGCTACAGCAACTCAGTCTCCCTCACAGCCCACGCATCATTGAACAAGAGGCCTTCCTCTTGTGCGTTTCGTTGCAGGAAGTCAGTATCCCACCATCCTTTACATTGCTCGTGCCATTGCAGGCTGCATGAAGCTTCGTGCATTCCGCAGACAAGGGAAGACCTGGCGGGGAACGTATGCCCACCGCAATGTCTTTGACGAGTGTGGGCAACTACCTCAACCCATTTGGCTGCGTTTTTTGCCGCCAACTGCAGAAGACCAATGGGGAGAGGACTTCCTTGCACCAACCCCGCAAATACATGCCTGCTGAGCCAGAGCCCACATGCCATTTCTACGTCGCCACCACCTACTACGACTCTCTGAGCCTTCTGGAATGAGAGCCTTAGCTCCTCGTCCCAGAAAGGCGGGCAGAAGCACGGTAATGGACAGCGCCCTGGGATCACCTTGGTCATCTTGGAGGCCCAGTGCCTTCTGACAGGCACGACACCATGACCTTTGCACCCCTTGCTGCTTGACCGCACGAGCCCTGGGGTACTGCGTGGACCTCCCTTCTTGGGAGGTTTTCGTCGAGTTTAGGCAGACTCATGGTTGTATTGTCTCCACCGCCTGTTGGTATCATGGCCCTCACTTCGCGCGGGCAATCTGTTGTCTGGGTTGTGCTGCGAAAAGGGAATTTTCCTTGGCCTGTTCGGCGATGCAACCACTGTGTTCCTTAGGCAATGCGGAAGGGACTTTCCAGGGGTGCTATGTGCTGCGAGAGGTGGCTGCCCCGGGGTGTGTCCAATACAGCCGAAGGGTGTTTGCGGAGTGCTGCTCCCTAGGTCGAGTTGGGGTCAGTCACGAAACTGATGATAGTAACGTCCTGGCACCAGGGGCACAGCTAGACAAGTATGCATTCGAGAGTTGCCTCACGCTTACAACCATCACCTTTGACATGGACCAGACTAACAAACCTCGAGCGCTGCCTGAGGGTGCATTTTGCGGCGCAGGCATTGAACAGCTCTGTTTGCCGAGTGACTTCCACAATATCGGGCCGCGGGCCTGTGAGAATTGCAAAAGACTTGTGGAGGTCAACCTCATGAGCACAGAAATCACAGCCCTGCTCTCTGCCACATTTGCCCACTGTGTAGCCTTAAATTGCATATGGCTTCCGCCACGACTCACGCAAATTGGCAAAGAAGTCTTCCTTAATTGTGTTGTGCTGCAAGAAGTTGTCATCCCGACGGAGCTCAGTGACATAGGCAACCGTGCATTCTGCGGGTGTGAGCAACTGCAACGATTTACCCCCCTGGACTGGGGTGACATTGAACAGTGGGTGCAGGCAGAGCACAATGCCTTCTTTATGTGTGACAAATTTGAAAAACCCCAGTGGGTGGAGCTGCTCCCTGCAGAAGGACCCGATTCGGACGCTTTTGACGAGGAGCTATACCACGAGTACTCCTAACATCATGCCAGTCCATAATAGGCTCAAGGTGGGCGCCTTAGCATCCGTCTTCAGGAAATACCTCTGGCATTCGGAACAGCCCATGAGCAGCCTCAGACACTTTTGGCTCAAACAATAATTGCAAAAAGTTTGCCGCACATGGAGCTCGACGACTCATCCAGGATTAGCACTCCCCCTGAAATGGAGCCGGTCATGGAATGCTCCCTGATGCTGACCACGCTCTCGGGGGTGACCTTTAAGGTCTCTCTCAGTGTTGCCAAGTTTGACCGATTTGAGGATCTAGAGGACCAGGTTATGGACTATCTGGCCTCTGTTACTGATCTCAAAGTGTTTGGGTGCTCCATTGACTTTCTACAAACTGCCACGCAGACATACCTTGAGGACCCAATCTGGGACAAGCTACAGCAAGGCATGGCATACACCATTGTCTTCAAGAACTGTAGTGTTATTCTGCCATCACAAGAACAGCTTGAGGGCTGCCCTATCCATCATGTTCCGCTAGCCGTTCATGTCCCTCTGAACCCAGAAGAAATCGTCCCAGAAGGGGCCTTTGCAGGGGTTCCACGTCTGCGACACGTCAGTGTAGAGTCAGGCATCAGGCTCATTGGAGCAGAGGCTTGGCAAAATTGTCGACAGCTCCGCATTGTCAAACTGCCCGCCACTGTTGTAGGTGTTGCCGATAACGCCTTTCGTGACTGCAAACTACTAAACAGTGTCTTGGCTCCGGGTTGTCGAGAGTTTGGATACAAAGCCTTTGCGGAATGCTGTTCCTTGCAATGGGTGTATGCATCGGAAGGGGTTGCAAACATGTTCACCAGCGAAGCCAAGTTCGGGCAATACCTCTTCCAAGGGTATATTGACCTTGCTGAGCTTACCTTGAGTGAGCTTCCATCCCCCCGAGGGTCAACACTGCAAGCTCGGACCAGTGAGCTGGCACCGGGATGTCTTAGCGCTACGGGAATCACCGCACTCGCTCTCACAAAGCACTTTGTAGCTATTGGAGCGCACGCGTGCGACAGTTGCCGATTGCTTAAGCAACACCAAGGTAGAGGAAATTCCGGAGTTCACCTTTGTGCACTGCACTAGCCTCAGAGAAGTTCTCCTTCCGACTACTCTTCATACAATCCGAGTCAAGGCCTTCATGAACTGTGCAGCCCTAGTTGAGCTTGCCATCCCGCCCTCACTCAGATACATTGGAAGTAGAGCTTTCTTGGATTGCACTGCTTTTAAGTGCCAAAATGCCAGGAAGGCACAAATGGCGAGGAGTATACGCTGAAGAAAATGCTTTCGCCATTTGTCCTGCTATGCGATGGCCACCCTGGCTGCATATGATCCCGGACATGGGATATACCCCTGGTCTTGGATGAGGACAAGTCTTTCTGGCCACAGCTATGGTGGCCTCACGATCACTTAATCAGAATCTGGGCGCACGCCTTAGCGCGAGTCCAGGGTAGGCCAGAAGCCATGCCAGGCCTAATCCCACAGTGGAGCTGAGGATCATCGCAAAACAAGCCTTCCTTCAGAGTACCCTTCCATAGGAGGTTTCCATCCCTGCTTAGCAAGGCGCTATGCGCTCTTGCAGGCAGCCCGCACTTTCGAGCAAGGGGCAAGCAAGGGGAGAAGACTCTCCAGACCTGTAATGACAA